GCGCCCGCACGACCATGAATACCACGAGAATCTCCAGGAATGCCATCAGCAGGGCAACGATCACAAGCACCAAGAAGATTATGAACATCACCATCTCCAGGACCACCATGAGCCTGGCCAAGATCGCGATTACCAAGCCGACGATCGAAAGAACCGTAAACATCATGAGTACTAGCACCAGCAGGTGGCGCGATCTTTAGCGACATCGGCAGGGCGACGACGAAGGGACCAGGAACATCATGAGCACCAGCACCACCACGAACACCATCATCAGGCCAACGATCAGGAACATCAGGAACTCCGTGGGCGCCCGCACGACCATGAATGACATGAGAAGCCCCAGGAATATCATCAGCAGGCCAGCGATCAGAAGCACCAAGAGGACTCTGAGCATCCCCATCGCAAGGACCACTGTGAGCCTGGCCAAGATCGCGATTACCAGGCCGACGACCGAACGAACTGTGAACTTAATGAGCACTAGCACCACGAGGAGCCCCCTGGACGATGCGATCTTTAGCGCCACTGGCGGGCAGACGATCGGGAGAGCCAGGAACACCGCGAGCGACCACATCACCAGGAACTCCACTTGCGCGGCCAGGCTCGCCAAGAGCAGGCCGTCCATCGAGATCCTCATGAAAATCACGAGCATATGCAGCACCAGGATGGCCCGCTCCTCCACCCCCATGATGAACTATATCTTCATGAACGTTTTCGGCACCCGCCGGTTGACGCGAGAGCAGCGAGCACCTGGACAGCATGGCCAGCACCTCCATGATGAGCTGCTCGAGTATCGTCATGTGCATCGACACCTCCAGGAAGATCGGCCCCAACACCGTGCGTATGAGGAACCGCCTTGAGCGATACCGACACACGTGACTCCCCAGACGAAGAAATACGACCATGATCCACAGCCACCACCTCGGGCACCGCCATCAGCAACGATTGAACCAATACGAATGGGGAAGCTATTGCACATCTCAGGGGCGCAGACAGGCAGCAAGACGAAGTGCACCACGATCCGTCCAGGGTACGCTTTGAGCCTGCAGCGGCACTGTCGTCCAAGCATAAGTTGGGCCAAGATCCATTCAAGCCTGGCCGAGCACACCATCGCAGCGCCACCGCGAGCCAGCGTTGACTCCAAATAGATAGGAGGACAGGAGGAGGACGAGAGGAGGATGGGAGAAGGACGAAAGGAGGACGGGAGCAGGACTGGAGGAGGACGGGAGGAGCAAAATCAAGCAAGCGCAAGCAAGCAAGCGGAAGCAAGGAAGCGCAAGCGAGCAATAACAAGCAAGCAAGAGCCAGCGATCAAGTGCAAGCGAGCAAGGGCAAGCAAGAGCAAGCAAGCGATAGCAAGCACGCAAGAGCAAGCAAGCAAGAGCACGCAAGAGCAAGCAAGGGCAAGCGACTCATAGGAGTCCATAGGAATCCATAGGACTCGCCATTGGAAATAGCTGGAGGGGGGGCATTGGAAATAATGGGGGGGTCCATTGGCAAAAGGGGGGGAGGGGGGGGCCATAGGAGTTAGAGGGAGGGCATAGGAATTAGGGGGGGCAACGGAACAGTTAGTAGGGTTTGAGTTAGAACTCCTATAGGGCAAGTCTATTTGGAGAATACGAATAATAATAAGAAGAAGAAGAAGAAGAATAATAATAATAAATATGAATACGAATACGAATACGAATAAGAAGAAGAAGAAGAAGAAAAAGGAAGAAGCTGTCCAAGGCGCCCACGCACATGGCCTAATCGCATCTCAGCATATCGGGCCCGACGTGTTCGAGCATCCGATGGGAGGGAGGTGGGGGGATCGTCACTGTCACAATCGCTCGTCCGAAGGTTGGAGATAGGGGAAGGGGGGAGGGGAGGGTGGGGGGGCGCGAAGATCCCAAGCACTCCCCCGCACCTACCTCTCGCGGGAGGGCGCCCTCGGAGAGGGCTCGGGTTCGCCTCCAAAGCCAGCTCGAAAAACCTGCAGCGCAGGAGTGAAGCGTCGACCTCGATGCTTCATCGTCGGGCCCGCAGGGACTGGAGTGGTCGCCCGGCCCGGCCCCGAACTGGAGGCGGCGAGCGGGAGGGGAGGCACGGGCGGGCGTCGCGGTGCGGGGGAAGAAGGAGGACGTGGTCCCGCAGACGGGAAGCTCCGAGCTTCGGCGCCTCCGGAGCACGTCCCTCCTCTGGGCTCCACCCTCGGACCTCGCATCCTCGGGCCCGCGGGTCTCGTGGCACTCCGCGGGCGGGCGGTCGGCCACCAGCGGAGTCGCTGCACCCGCAGGTCCTGCGATGCACGCCTGGAGCAGAGGTTGAGCTCGCACAGCCGGGATGGCGAGGGCAGCTCAGAGCAAGCCTGCCAAGCAATGGCATGCAGAATGCTTTGCACGCGCGGGCCCGGTTGAGTGCGACGCGCGGTTGCAGGACGCGAAGGATTCGCCGCTCTGAAAAGGGGAACATCCACCAAATGAGACTGCTCACGAATATGCCCACACATAAACCCAGAACAAAAACGGGCACAAGCTGTCGAAGGGCAGGTCGAAAGACTGCCACTGTCATGGGCGACTCTGGCTCAGCATCAGCATCTGAAATTGTTGACCCCACGATTCAGGCCAGTGCACCCCATCGATGATGTTCAGGACTGGGGCGACATCTTCTCCTTGCCTGATGGACCTGCCTCGCGGAGCACGCGGGCGTCGGTGCGCGCGCGGGTCCTGGCCGCCAAAGACTCGTCACCCATGAAGTCCATCGGGAGAGCCGACGCTTCGCCCCAGTCGATCTGGGCGGGGACCTCCTTCTTCTCTCCAGCGATCGACTTGAGTATCGTTTAACCGATCCCCATCCCCAGCGGCGTGGCCTGGGCTCCACTGGCCTGGGGATTTTGGTCGTTCACTTCGGGTTTCGAGGGGTGCATCCCCAACTGGGGGGGTTAATTTGGAGGGGGTCTCGAGGGGGACAGGGGTCGGATAAACGACACTGACTCGAACCAGCCACGCTTGGACCTGCGGAGCAGGCCTTGGCTCGTCGGCGCCGCGAGCGGGCGCCCGCGCCGCCTGGCGGGAGTTCGCGGCGCCACCGGGGCGCTTCTGCAGCGGCCGCCCCCTGCACGTCTTGCAGCTCGCCCATCCGATCCCCGAGGGGCGACTCAGTCCCATCGCCAGCGCCAGGCACGCCCCGCCCACGCAGCTGCATCTCCTCGGCCCGATCTCGCGCGCCCCCGGCGGACGACCGGCGCCGGCATCTCCGACAGGCCCCCTCGGAGCTTCTGGAGCTTGCGGCCCGCATCCGACTCAGCGCGCGGCTGCTTCTCGCGCCCCTCGCGGTCGCGGTCACCACGGGGCGGACCTCCGGTCACAGTCGCGACCACGCTTGCAGCCACCCCTGCGACCACGGGACCTGCCACGCCGGCTTCCGGGGCCCCTGCAGCGCCCTCGGCCCCGGTCCCGAGGCTCGGTCGCGGCGGTCATGCGGTGTGCGGTCACGGGAGTAGTCGCCCGCACGGCGCCAACGACTGTCGCCTCGGCGCCGCGAGTCACGGTTCCGACGGTCACAGCCCTTGTCACACTTCTGCCAGGTGCGGCGCCTGCCACCGGGAGCCATCGAATCGCCGGAGGTAGAAGCACTGCCAACGCAGCAAGATCACTCGAGCCCTGCGCATTGCCAGACCATGGGCACGCGTGCAATGCTGCCAGGAAAAAGTCCACAGGGCACCCCACGAGGAACAACTCCAGGGAGAGCTCGAGTATCCAGGAGAGGGCGGTGGGAACGGGCAGAGACAAGCGCCAGGCCCCACCCAGGCGCCCTGCGTAGAGGGAGACCAACATGTTGAACCCACGGGGAAGTGTTCCAGGCCAGAGAAGAATCCTTCTGGGGTCGGGCACCTCCCAAATCCAGACAGACCTTGTCAGGCCACAGGAGTCCCCTGAGGGGCTACAATGCGAGACCCAACCATTTTCATGGAGCCTCGAGGTCTCTAGATCACTTGCTGCGGACAGCTTGACTTGGAACACTTTGGTCATATCAGTAGACTCACACTGCTTACAGCATGCACTACTCACACCTAAGATGTAGTCCACAAATATGCGTTGCGCGATGATGCTGTTACATAGACATGCTGATGAAACTAGGCCGGGCGCACCGTCGCCCGCAACTCGAACCACGCCGAAAGCATAGACAGTGCAACGCCAGACAACACTCCTCTGATCGGGAGCCCACGCAATTACCACACAGTTCCGCCAAACGTGACAAGACAGAGCCATCAAGAGGCCGACATAGTTCGCGCAATCTCTGGCACGGAGATCTCGAAGCGGCGGGGTGGCGTGCCAGAGGAGAACATCCTGGTCTTCACCCCCCTGCCTCGCTCGACGAGGTTGTAGCCGGTTGCCAAGATAGAAAAAGTACGGGAAGAGATACACTGCCATGCTGCACCGATCAACCGAGCACTGCCCTGCTCGCAAGCCTGATCCGCATCTGCCATCACGAGGGAGATGCCCGTGAAGGAGCACTTGCACCGTGAGCACGTCCGCCGATGATGGCCCCGGCAATTGCGTCGCTCATGTTGGAAACCTCCCTGAGGTGCCACTGAATTTGATCAAGCGTCGCCCTGCTCTGCCTGGCGCGCTGACGGAATTCACAATCCTGCGCGCACAGCTGCGGCCAGGCTTGGCACAACACCTCGTGCCACAGGGGAGAGATCACTTGCTCTCGACTGCGGGGGAGACGCAGGAGGGGACGGCGCGGCGAAAGGAAGGCACACGAGCCCCAGAACACAGCCACGGCGGCAGTTCTTCGTACGCACGAGGCTACAACCACACCGCTGTATCCTTGCGAATTGAATCATGCCGACTTGGCACAACCATCATCCAGCTCAGCTGTCTGGCGTAGCCGTCTGACAACATCACGTCCATCCGCAACCCGAATCTCGCCAGGGAGTTAGTCATCTGATAGCAACGCCTGACTGGAGGTGGAGTCGACACCCTGCCGCATGATGGCCTCGAGCTCTCCCCGTCTCGTTAGACTGGTAGCACCACCTTCGGTTGGGGCCCCGAGGTTCAGGAAATCAATCTACCACGGATAGAATACCGCCCTTTCCGAACAAGTGGCGCTGCCAATCAGGCCTTCTGGGCCCACTCCAGCATCGAGGCATTGGCCTTCCGTGCTGAGGCGGAAGAGGTCGACCAAGCCGGTAGCGTCCAAGATCCCGAGAGATATCTGAAATCTGAGAGACCTGTGACAGTCCCAGACTCATGTACGGATGCTGGCACGCACTGTGACTAGACCGAGGCCAGAACCGACTGGCCGAAATTTTATCCTTCCAAGATCGTCGCGCTTGAAACCGACCTCGCGGGGGCGGATGGTACCGGGCATGCGCAGGCTCGAAGTTCATCGCGCGGTCATCCTGCGAATCGCCGCACCCACAGGAGCCTGCATCTCACGCGGTGGGGATATTGTAGAACGTCGCGTCGATTGCAGATTCAGAAACCACAAATGTCGATCAGTGTGAGTGCTAATCCTTCGGACTCTCGCAGAACTCAACAAGATAAGAACGTCCACAGGATTCATGTCATTCAATAAGACAGCACCACGCTCGTTTCTTGGATCTGCAACGGCAGCACGGCAGAGGCCTCCACTTGCCCGCAAGGGAAGCTGGAAGAAAGCTCCTCCTCCTCCTCCTCCTCCTCCTCCTCCTCCTCCTCCTCCTCCCTCCTCCTCCTCCTCCTCCTCTCCTCCTCCTCCTCCTCCTCCTCCTCCTCCTCCTCCTCCTCCTCCTCCTCCTCCCTCCTCCTCCTCCTCCTCCTCCTCCTCCTCCTCCTCCTCCTCCTCCTCCTCCTCCTCCTCTCCTGACGCAAGGTGCTAATGTTCACGAGTCTGCGGGTCATACCGCTGGGAATACGGGGCAGGCTCAGGGAAGGCCCCAGGGAGATTAGCCAGGGGGCTTCTTCTGGGAGCCTGAAGGATCTCTGGAACTGCTGGCTCTGCTGAGGTCCACGCTGAGGGGGGGGGGTCGTCTGATACTCACGCTCTCGGATTACGTCTCAACTGTTAGGTTTGGTGGAGGTCGGAATCGTCGAGCCGCCAACGCCTCGAAGTGAAAGCGTGCGGCCACTGTTGGGAGGATCCACAGGAATGGGATGGAAAGCTCTCGGTATCTGAATCGGCTCCGCGGAGGAACTCGAGAACGGAGGGCGGTTTCAACACGTTGCTGAACCCGTCCTTAAACTCATGGGAGAGCACCTGATTGGAGGACTGGTTTTCCAAAGTGCCACGTTGAGTGCGCGCCTCACGCGTTCACGACCGCACAGCGAGGAGAAACATCTTATGGAAAGAAGTCATCACAATCTCTGCCCTCCAGTCATGGAGACCTTTCTTCCACCCATAAGGAAGCAAATAGAAAATTCTGCATGCCCATCTCGCGGGCTGTCGACTAGAACATGCATGGTGTAGCCGAGACAGCCCAGACATAAGCCAGGCCTCTGCAAATATGCTCCACAGAGGAGCTCCTCAACATGCACGCGCAATGCTTGGCTTGTTTCCACCGAATTTGCAAAGGACGGCAAACATGGTGGATAGGTATGCACGGATGTGTACGTGGTTTCTGAGATCCCGCAGCAACGAACAAATTTTGGCACCAATCTATTCTTGGGAGAGGCCTGCGCCAGGTAGGAGACGGTCATTGCTGACAGTCTGAGCGCATTGAAGGGCCCGCGGCTGTGTGATGGGATACGGCGTCAAGAATCGTCCGAGCTCCAGCTCCGCCATCACGTCGTCATATTCTGAAAACCCCATGGCCTCCAGGTCCGCGAAAATATTGAACTGCGCACTTCGTCGTCTGAGCTCGTGTCGTCTTCCGGTTCCGCTGGGTATCACATCTGCTGCCAAAAGGTGAAGGTCACCCAAACCCGGCCCGGGGTCTGTTATATCCTCTGATGATCTTCTCTGAGCTCTTCTCTGTGGGCCTTCCTCCAGGTCTCCTGCTACATCGACAGGGGGGGCCCAGGTAATTGTTGCAGAGGGTGTTCGTCTGTCCATGCTGCCAGCCGTTGCCATGGTCGGTTGCTGACGCACTCACGTAAGAGTCGATACGGTTCAGGTTGTCCGAGACTCACACTGACTCTCTGGGTCATCTCATGCTACAAGCCGCCCGCTCGTGACACGTACACCTGATCAGCAGGAGCACAAAGTCCGAATCCTGGTAGTCCTCGAAAGGGCCTACTTGACACGAAATCTGAGAGAGTCACGATTTGCGAATTCACATCAACTGATCTGCACTTCACAATTTCGAGTGTCCCTCACAGGGACAGTATTCTGACAGATACCTGTGAGCAGAGAGAGCGAGAGAGAGAGAGAGAGCGAGGGAGAGGGAGAGAAAGGGAGAGAGGGAAAGAGAGCGAGAGGGAGGAAGAGAGAGAGAGAGAGAGCGAGCGAGAGGGAGAAAGAGAAAGAGAGAGAGAGGGAGAAAGGGAAGCGCGCGGCGGCTGCCTGCACAAACCGCGCCAGCTCCTCCGCCAGCGCCTGGAGGGACGAGGAAGCGCCGCCGCCACCGCAGCCGCCAGGGGGCACTCCTGATCTCGACGCTCCTCTTAGATGGCGACGCGCTTCGGACTTCAGGGCCTCCCCTGGACCCGGAGGGGCTGCGGTGCTCGCGCGCGCGCGCGCCGCGCAGCGCGCGAGCAGGGCAGCTGGAGGTGGAGACTGCGAGGGGGAAAAAGCCGGGCTGTCCACCCAGCCTATCTGGGCCACCCATTGAGAAAGACAATCGTCGTGTCGGGAGAAGGGGTTGGGAAGACACAGTGCAGGGCCACGCTTGCCTTTCTGAATTAAGCCGCCCAGTCGCGCGACTGCAAGTACATGACTCGTACGCACGACTGGTGAATCTGCCGCACGTGTCATTGGACCTCCAGGGGCGTCCAAACTGATGCAAAGGCCTCTGACCTCCAGAGGCCTCCGGAGGCGTCCGGAGACCTCCGCGCATCCGCGGAGGCTTCCAGGGACCTCTGGAGACATCTGGAGGCCAAGACCTCTGGCACAAGACATATCGCGCAAGAAGAGTTCCGCACTTTCCGGTCATCGAGGGTTTCTTCTGGCCGCGGGGCCGTCAGCCGAAACCGACTCGTGTTAAACAGCTCCGAGGACAGCAGAAAGAGACCCAAAGGCCAGCGAAATGAACCAGTCGAGAAGTTGGAGGTCAAGATCCCCCCTCCAGGCGGAAAAGGAGGACGAGGACGACGGCGCTCTGCCTTCTTGGGGCCTTCCGGGGGGGGGCCCTCGCCGCCACGACTGGAGCCGCCTCGAGATCCTGGCCAGAACGCGCTCTAGGACGGGCGCGGGGCCGACTGTGAGAGCAGAGGAGGGCACGGGGGAACGCCGACCGCACACCTGCTCCGATCTAGGCTGGGCTCGCTCGGGGCCGAGGACTGGTGCCCGGGCTCCCCTGGCTCGGATAGGGAGGCATGCACACCGACACCCTGTGCCCAAGGGCGGCTTGACCAGATGTGACGCAGCTGTGCGCAGGATCGGCTTGACCAGGTTCGGTGTTGGGCCGCACTCCAAAGGGAGATCCGCCGCAGATGAGCGGCGCTGCAAAGGAGGGACCTTTGCAGATGGGAGGAGGAAGCGCATGAGCAGGGGGGGCGAGGGAAGGGGGGAAAGAGAGGGGGGGGAAGGCGGAAGGGAGGCGGAAGGAGAGAGGAAGGAGGTTGGGACGACCACATACCGAGATCGGCGGCGAAGTTTGCCAAAGCCTTTCGATATCCACGAATGCCCCCATCAGTGCCATCACTGGTGTAGAGATAACCAAAAACGTCGATGAGTGAAGATACTGCCCTCCACTCCTCGTCCCGCGCGTCCTCCTCCTCCTCCTCCTCCTCCTCCTCCTCCTCCTCCTCCTCCTCCTCCTCCTCCTCCTCCTCCTCCTCCTCCTCCTCCTCCTCCTCCTCCTCCTCCTCCTTCCTCCTCCTCCTCCTCCTCCTCCTCCTCCTCCTCCTCCTCCTCCTCCTCCTCCTCCTCCCCTCCTCCTCAGCCTCCTCCTCCTCCTCCTCGTCCTCGTCCTCCTCATCCTCATCCTTCTCCTCCGCCTACTTCTCCTTCTCCTCCTCCTCCTCCTCCTCCTCCTCCTCTCCTCCTCATCATCATCATCATCATCACCCTCCTCCTCTTCCTCATCCATATCATCCTCCTCATCCTCCTCAGCATCCTCATCATCATCATCATCATCATCATCATATCATCATCATCATCATCATCATCATCATCATCATCATCATCATCATCATCATCATCATCATCATCATCATCATCATCCACATCCTCCTCCTGCTCCTCCTCCTCTTCCTCGTCCTCTTCCTATTCCTCCTCCTCCTCATGTTGACATCGTTCGTCCTTGAAAAATGATGTGTGCTATGGTCGTTCGTATCAGTAGTACGCTCTGCGAGATGGAAATGGTATTATTAGGAATCGGATTAGTCTCAGTATGAGTATTAGTATTAGTAGTAGTAGTAGTAGCAGCAGTCGTAGTAGTAGTAGCAGCAGCAGCAGCAGCAGCAGTAGCAGCAGCAGCAGCAGCAGCAGCAGCAGCAGCAGCAGCAGCAGCAGTAGTAGTAGTAGTAGTAGTAGTAGTAGTAGTAGTAGTAGTAGTAGTGGCAGCAGCAGTAGCAGTAGTAGTAGTAGTAGTAGTAGTAGTAGTAGTAGTAGTAGTAGTAGTAGTAGTAGCAGTGGTAGTAGTAATAAAAGTAGTCGTCGACGTATTCGTGGCATTCGTCTTAGTGTGTGCAAGATTAAGTGTATTATTCGTGTTCGTGGCGTGAGTCGTCTGCTTCGTATTCTCTGTGGCAGTAGTACGATTCTTCGTAGCCGCAGTATTGCTAGTCGTACCAATACTCCATATTTTAAGAATAATGATAATACTACTAATATTAGGCGTGGCAGTCGCATTCGCATCCGTGTGCGCATTGCTCTTCATAGTCGTATAAATATCAGAACTGTTCTTATTCGTAGTCTTAGTTTTAGCCGTGTGCGTAGCATGTTTCTTCTTAGTATTGTTACTATTCGTCCCAGTAGTAAGAATATTCCTCCTCCCCCTCCTCTTCCTCCTCCTCCTCGTCCTCATCCTCTCCTTCCCAACTCCCTCTTCCTCCTCTTCCTCCTCCTCCTCCTCCTCATCCTCATCCTCATCCCCCACCCCCCCTCCCTCCCTCTCTCCCCCCCTCCGTACATACATACATGCATACATGTGTACATGCACACATGCATATCTGCATACATGCATACCTGCATACGTGCATACATTCATACATGTACGCATACACGCATACACACACACGTGCCTACATACATACGTACATACATACATACATGCATACATACATACATACATACATACATACATGCATGCATGCATGCATGCATACATGCATACATACATGCTTACACACATACATACATATATACACACATATATACATACATACATACACATACATATACATACATACGTACGTACATACATACATACATACATACATACATACATACATATATATGCATGCGGACCTGCGTACGTACGTACAAACGTACATACATACATACATACATACATACATACATACATACATACATACATACATACATACATACACACACACATATGTTTATATACAGACACAGACATACAGCTATACATGCATACATACGTACATATTTACATACATATATGCGTACGTGTATATACAGACACACATGCATACATACATGGTTCCGGGCTCCGGGCCCACGGGCCCCCCCACCCCTCCCCCCGAGATAGTATGGTCCCAGGATTCCTCGGGCCCCCCCCCCAGATGGTTTGGTCCCAGAGACGACGACGACGACGACGACAACGACGACGACGACGGCGACGACTACGACGACGGCGACGACGACGACGACGACGACGACGACCACGACGACGACGACGACGGCTGCGGCGGCGACGACGCCGGCGGCGGCGGCGGCGACGACGACGACGGCTGCGGCGGCGACGACGCCGGCGGCGGCGGCGGCGACGACGACGATGACGACGATGACGACGGCGACGACGACGACGACGACGACGACGACGACCTCTGAACCACCACAGCACCACACCACATCCACAGGGGGGGGGGAGGGGGCACCGCAGCGCAGCACCACGCCACGCCCACCTCTGAACCACCACAGCACCACACCACATCCACAGGGGGGGGGGGGCACCGCAGCGCAGCACCACGCCACGCCCACAGGGGGGGCGGGGGGGACCATCGCGCGGGGGGGGGGGGCCCAATGGCATCAGCATTGGGGGGGGGGCCCAAGCCCTGGACCATACATACATGTATGCATACGAACATACACACATACGAACATACATACATGCAGATATGCATACATACATACATGCATGCATGCATGCATGCATGCACACATACATACATGAATTCATGCATACATATATACATACATGCATGTCTACACAGGCATCTACACACAGACATACATACGTACAAACGCACATACATACCTATGTGCATGCATACATGTATACACGCACACATGCACACATGCATACCTACATACATGCATAGCTGCATACATGCATACATGCATACATGCATGCATACACACATGTGTGCCTACATAAAGACAGACATACATACATACATACGAACGTACATACATACATACATACAGACAGACAGACAGACAGACATAAATGCATGCATATATACATATATACATACATACATACATGCATACATACATATACACATATATACATACATACGTATGTACATATATACATACATACATGCATACATACATACAGACAGACACACATACATACATGCACACATACATACCTACATACGTACATACATGCATACAAGCATGCATGCACACATACATACATACAAACATACGCCCTCCTCCTGCTCCTCCTCCTCCTCGTCCTCCTCATCGTCCTCCTCCTCTTCCTCCTCCTCCTCGTCCTCCTCCTAGTCCTCCGCCTCCACCACCTCCTCTGGCTCTTCCTCCTCCTCCTCCTTCCTAAGTCCCCGCGTCATCAGCATCATCATCAGCATCAGCATCATCATCATCAGCATCACCATCATCAGCATCATCAGCATCACCATCAGCATCACCATCATCATCACCATCATCATCACCATCATCAGCATCATAAGCATCATCATCACCATCACCACAACCACCACCACAACCACCACCGCCACCATCACCATTATCATCATCAACATCGCCATCACCATCACCACCACCACCACCATCAACAGCATCGTCATCATCAGCAGCATCAGCATCATCAGCAACATCGTCATCATCATAAACAGCATCAGCCTCAGCATCAGCGTCATCATCATCATCATCATCAGCATCATCATCAGTATCGTCATCCTCAGAATCATCAGCATCATCAGCAGCATCCTCATCATCACAATCAGCGGCATAATCAGCAGCATAATCATCAACAACAGCAGCATCAGCAT